CGTTGAAGTTTGTTGTTGTGGTGGTGGGGGTGCTCAACTGGCGATGGTGCTCATCTGGTGCACGGGCACTGTAGGAGGGTACCAGCACACATCACCATGCTGATGATCTCCCGGTTTCAAGGGCAAAGGCCTACTTGCACTTGGATTGGTCAAATGAGCTGCTCTTAGACCGATGCTCTCGCTGCGTGCAGATCATGGTGCACCTTGAGTGCAGCAATGAAGGTATCCAGTAACATCTGCAGCGTGGGTTGAGGACCTGAAAGCGATCTAGATCAAAGGGTCAAACAACGAGCTAAGTAACCAGGCTGCTATGGACTGCTAGAAGACGGGGTCCGACGGCAACGCCCATGCAACGGACTCGGCCAGCGTCAATGGGCGAATATGTGTCATGTTTCTACAGTAAGGGAAGATGCTAAATAGATTTCAGGCTGCACTATACATAAACCTCGAATCTTCCTGCAAAACCTTACCTATAAGGTCAATTTTTTTTCCAAATCTGTCACTTTATTTTACAGTGCCACGCAGTGTTATTTCGCGAAAGAAAAACAGAAAATCTTCATCTTCACAATGATTGGGTATTCGTCTTTGTTAGACCCATCCATGATGAATAAGTAGTGACCCTAGTAGCTGTCATGGATAGTCTGGACTTTTACCCCTTCTGGCTATAGTACCTTGGCTCCGACCCTGTACTTCGCCTACCTTTTCAGCTACCCTGGACAATCATGTCTTTACGACTACTGTTTTTGTGACACACTTGTTTCTTTTGGTGGGCCGTGCACCGGTGACAGAAAGCGTGAATTGCTTGACGCACGGGTTATCTCCATGACTATTGATTGTTGGTTTTTGCTACGCGATACTTGATCACGTTGCCGGAGGTTGTAAATTCGTTGATGCATGCTACTATATGGGATTTCTAGCCAACTGGAAAGTTCTAGCGGAAAGAAGGCTTAATCTATTGTATGTCACTAGTTTACACACTGCACCACCCCCAGAAAGAAATCGAGCAGTACTAGCCCAAGTACGATTAAACGCTGTTCGATTTCTTTCTCGGGGTGGTGACACTTGTGACGACTTCTAGCTCGGTGCCGATAGGGACGCTCGCAAGTGCCTGGGGAAGCACTTGGGGAATAATTCAGAGAAGAAGCTTCATAATTCTGACGGCATTCATTTGAAAGAAATAAGGGTTCAAGACTAGTACGCGTAACAGATTATGCAGGCATATCGATGCTGCATGACTAAGAGCCGATCGAATTGCCCGCGGTTAATGTCCTAACTATACTCTGATTCATCTACCCCTTATAGACAGTTGTGCGGGTAAATATGCACCAGCCACCCACCCCACCTTCGTACGCTCATTTCACGGCACTCCACGATCAGATTCAACGAACCAAACGCGATCGATCCGTGAGTACAATATTTCTAAAGACAAGCACGATTCGTCTTACCGAGAGAAGGGAAGATAGAGAGCCACTTAAAGCACGTCTGTCATCGCGTTCGTGGAATGTTAAATTGACAAAGATGACTCCAGTCCACGCTGCTTACGGCAGAATCCCTCTTTCGAACTTGCTGGCTGCGAACATGGGTCTAGAGGGGAGAGATTTCTAACGCAGTGTGACAGATACAACTCATGCATAGCGCACGTAAAAAGCTACTGAGCACCTGAAAAGAGCATTAGCATCGGGATATAGAAGCCGCTACTCTCCGTCTACCAATCTTACGGAAATCTTCCTTGGATCTGTCACATCAATCACTTTACATAGAATCACGTTGTTCCACAATTGTATCTTCAACGTGTTGACTGATGCTAATATGGCAGCACACCAAGGCAAGCCATCGTCCATGCTCAAAGACATCACTTACAAGCCTTCTCAGACACGAGTGGGGAGGGATGAAGTTTGGTCTTGTGTATTGGAATGCCTTCAACAATCCACGCTCTAATCACCTTTTGTTGGAAGATGGCAATGGCAATGATCCTGATGTTCCATCTATACATAATGTATAAAGTTCCTGATAGTCCGTGGATGATCGGTGTTGTAATGTCTTATTCCTCTACAGCAACTGCCACGTTGGCAGGATCCTGGCTAGAATAGAAGAGCAAAATGGTTATTGTCTGTGAACATGGCAGGGCATAGCCGGGACATTCCAGCAGTGATAGCAACCAATACTGTTTTGCTACTCTTACTTCATAGCAATACCTAAGAATGATGGATTTGCATATTTAATTATGCGTACTCACATATTGTGCCGTTGAGTTTCGCGTTTGTCGTAGTGACGTAAGTACGTATTATGTGTATCATTCTTCTACTATGCTTCCTCTTAGTATCCACCATTACTTCTACCATTAGTTGTACTACAATTGGCATTTCAGTATTGTTACACCTTCAACCTAGCTCCCTTTGTGTCCTTTAGACCCCCATATATGGTAAAGATAGGCTAAGAGGGCTTGGCGTCCAGGACTGCCAAGGCTGCAGTCGCCAAGTGCCGAGCAATGGATTGCATACTCTATTTGTGAACCTGGCAGGTGCTAGGAGCCCGTTCAACTTTTTGGGTTTCTTATTATAAGTGATACCCCCAGTTTGATTTGCGCAAACACAGAAATTCTTATGGTAAAAATAGAGCATCACAGTGTTGGACTAACTCGCGCATGGGCTACTTTACTAGCACTTATGTCTGCAGAATCTCAGGTTCAAGTATGCAGATGCGTACTTAATTAGTTTGAGCGTCATCATGGTATTCTTATAGCTGTCCGATTCCATGCTTGTTACACAACATGAAACAAACGGGGATCTTTCCGGACATAATACTGAATACAAAGGCGCATTTGCTTCAAAATTGGTTAATTCGTCCCGAGTTCTGTAAGAATCTAGCCAAACACCTTGACAATGATGGCACGGGTACCTGCCCATTTTAGATGTGACAAGTAATTACCGCAGCCCAAATTCTGGTCTCGTGCCCGCGCAATGCAACCACCGGCCACAGTCGAAGTGCTGAAACACGGTCGTGAGCTGTCCACGCGTATTTACACGCTGGTGTCCATAGATTTGGCGTGGAAAGTTTACCGGCACTAGCTCGGGTAATATATATCCTTGAATTTCCGCACAGATGTTTAGATTAGAGTGGGGTCACGTCATTTGTCGTGAGAAGCTTAGTTTCAACTTAAGCAATATCGGTAAGCCTTGAGAAGCTTAATCTTGTACAAACCAATATCCAGGCAGGACAAGATGCTAAATGGTAGGCGGAATAAAACTTGGCACCCCCCTGTAAGCTACGGAAGGAATATTCTCCCTACAGCCAATGTGAGCTTACTCGCCATGTGGAAATTATTGAGATCGGACGCTATTCGCATCGAGCTTTACTTAACTCCATACAAGTTAGTCAAGCTGGGGGGGAGGATCCTAGCGAGAACTTGACCGACCAGGCTACATCACCCAGATATAAAGAGCGATGGTTCAAACAGAGTTCCAGTCTTTTGTTTCAAACAAGTACAGTTTTTCAACTCTGTAAATCGCATCCACAGATACCCGCACAATATCCTCACCATGGTCTCCTTTACCGCCAGTCTTGTCGCCTTCGCGACCATCATGGGCGTCATTGCTATGCCTACGGAGGGCCTTACTGAGGCCACCGTCGCGAAGCGCAGTACCCCCAACGGCTCGGGTAACAACAATGGCTTCTACTATCAGTTTTGTAAGTGACAATGTCATTCAACCCTAGGGTTATCTTACTAACCTCACGTATAGGGACTGATGGCGCTGGTGGCACCGCGACCTACACGAACAAGGCGGCCGGCGAGTACTCTGTGACATGGCAGAGCATCTCAGACATGACCTCCGGCAAGGGCTGGAAGTCTGCGCAGCCCAGGAACATTACTTTCACTGGCAACGTCAAGGCACAAGGCAACTTCTACCTTGCCGTCTACACATGGTCGCAGCGCGGCGAAAACTACGTAAGTAATCCCTTATCAATAGCGAACGTTAAGTATGTCCGCCCGAACTCTTGTCTCACATTTGAACAGATTCTCGAGAACTACGGCACGTACAACCCCTGCAGTCAGGGCCAGAAGATGGGCACCATCACCAGCGATGGCAGCAGCTACGAGATCTGCACCGTCAACCGCGGAAACGGATACATCCAAAACTGGTCTATCCGTCAGAACAAACGTTCCAGCGGTACCGTCACCACCGCAAACCACTACAACACATACACTGCTCATGGCATGACGCACAACCCTCTCAGCGAAGCCGCTTACCAGATCGTGTCTACCGAGGGATTCGGCAGCTCCGGCTCGGCTGACATTACCGTGTCCAGCCCTTAGTTGTTGTTCATGTTTCCAAGGGAGCGCACGGGGTTGCCTATACCCGTTGTGCAGAGAATTGAAGTTTTACTTCCATAAGAAATTATGGGATTCACAAAACATTCATCACGCCTCTGGACTCTTCTGTATATATTTTATTTCCCCCCCCCCCCAGTCGAAACACATTATCCACATTGTACATAGTTGAATGGGTATTATGTTTGAGAATGTTGTCACATACAAGTTTTATGCAATGAATAGATTCACACACTCAATATTGGAAAGCAAGTTTGCAAAAGTTGCTGCACTAGGCACTTTCTTAGTAAAGAGGAATGAAGTTTATCTGCTAGGAATATAGTAGTGGAGTGGTATGACTATGCAACTCACTCCTGATTTAATGGTTTCGCACTCTATTTCCATCATTGCTAATGAATTTCCCATCTGTTTGTTTGATGGGTATTAGATAATGTATATATGTAGATATATCTCAACCGAACAGTTCATTCTCGTCTCTGTAGAATACGCCACATTCCGTTCATACCCCCAAAACTCAACCTTGAACCTCACAAAATCACAAGCAGTGCATAGATGTAAAAGTGCTGAAAATACTTTTTTTTCTTCTTGTTTCTCTACAAGAACGCCAATACATGCCAGCGCTCAAGAGCTAATCATTACACATCTACAATAAACCGGATGCTTGTGTCGGAGGCGACAATGACGACCCAAAAAAACTTCCAACTGGCGTCTTATTTTCTTACATGCAGGCAGCACCGTCAATACCAATGACCTTTCCGTTGACCCAGTCGCCGTCCTGCGAGGCAAGGAAGCAGACAACACGGGCAATGTCAATGGGCTGGCCGACACGGTTGTGGGGGGACCATGTGCAGGCGTACTCGTCGACCTGGTCGTCGGAGAGCTTGTCGCCACCGGGAATGTACTCGCGGCACACGGCGTGGTACATGTCGGTCTTGATGCCACCGGGAGCAACGCAGTTGACAGTGATCTTCTTCTCACCGGCGTCTACGAGGTGGTTAGTATGCAGGAGCGAGACGGACATGTGGATTCAGAGCGGAAGACTTACCAATGGCCATGCACCTGGTAAAGGTCTCAATGGCACCCTTGGAACCCGAGTAGACGGCGTGCTTGGGGACACCCTTGGCCTGGCCGGTGATGGAGCCCATGAGGATGATGCGGCCACCGACTTCCATGCGCTTGTAGGCGGCGGCGGCAACGAAGAACTGGCCACGGGTGTTGATGTTGAAGACGCGGTCAAACTCCTGGGGAGTGACGTCCTTGAAGTGGCCAAAGGACACGACACCAGAGTTGGAGCAGCAAATGTCGAGCTTGCCAAAGTGGGCGACAACGTCGTCCATGAGCTTCTCCGTCTCGTCGACATTGCCGACGTTGGCCTTGAAGGCCGCTGCGTCGGAGCCGTTGCCAAGAGCCTTGATCTCCTTGACGACCTGCTCAGCACCCTCGACGGCGTTGGCGTAGTTGACGGCGACCTTTGCGCCGCGCTTGGCAAGCTCAATGGCCATAGCCTTTCCGATACCACGGCCTAGATGGATGTCAGCATGACTAAGGCACCCCTGTCAGGTGGTTGACTCGTACCTGAGCCGGTGACAACGGCGACCTTGCCGGCCAGGCTCCATGTTTGCTCGATGTTGGCCATTGTGAATGTGAGTTGTGTTTGGGATTGGGTCGTGGGAGACGGTGGAAGGCGGATGTGTCGTGGTAGTGTTTGTGAGAACTGCGGGTTGTGATGGTGATATCTCTCTTGCACGGTCAAGATAGGCTCCTATATAGCCATTGAACGATTCGGGACTCCAGCGGACAAAGGCCTTGGATGAGCACCTCTTCTCCATCAAGCAACCGCCGCTATCCCACTGCCCACTGATTCTCCCCCCATCTCAGTGCCTCCGGTTCGGCACATGGCGGTCGCCCCCAAGAGCAGTCGGTCCTAGGGCTGAGACTCTGTACCTGAGCCCGCGCGCTGCCCGTAGGAGAGCCTGAGCCTCAGGGACAAAGTCCGGGAGGAGGGGCCGAAGTGCGAAACGGGCTGCCACCATTGGCCGATGCGAAGCCCGCCCGCGCAACACCAAGGTCGCAGTGGTGTTCTTTGTGAAGCAGCATCTGGTTCCACGCGGGCACAAAGGGCTGTTCAGTAAATGTGTGGGAATCCCTATAGCGGTTTGCGGCTTGCTGGTTGCAATTGTACCGAGGTCTCTCCCAGGGCTGGAAGGGTGGGGGCAGAGGATCCAAGCACCACCACGTATTTTCCGCACCCACGGGACACTGTGGCAAACACCATGAAAACGCCGGTATTCTTCGCGATAACGCTCGCCCAAGTCACCCAGGCCCACATCCGCATGCAAACTGCCAGACAGCTCGAGAGCCAGATTCACCAGGTCATGTGACTGTCCCGAAACGGCCTAGGCCAGGCCAGCCGGATAGCAGCTCCAAGGCCCGGCACAAGTGGTCGAGACAGAGAGTTGAAGAGTCCGTGGCTCCCCATGCACTACAGGCTGATAGGCGTATCTGTCCACTGGCTCCTGGGGGGGGGGTTTCGGACGAGGGCCGGTAAAAGGTGGGTGGGCGCGTTGCAAGTCGTCGGCACGGTGTCTCCAGTCTGGTGTCGCAACGCAACAAAGGGCTCAATTGCCCGGCGGGAAGATAGCGGGGATCCGCCGACACCTACCGCCGCACCTTGTCCCGCCTGTGCATCCCTTCCCACTTCACACGTCCATCCGTCCGTCTCTTCCTCCATGTCGTGCTGAGTTGGATGGACAGTAATATCTCTCTCCCCTCCAAATCCGTGCAATGCCACGCTGCTGACTGCGTCTTTCCACATCCTCCTCAGCCCTCCCCCACCTGACCGCTTCTCTGCACGCTGAGCATCTTCTGCCCGTCCTGCACCCAGATTAACAATCATCCGAATACGAGTGCGCCGACGAAATGGGGCTTTATCGGGCCTTGTATTCACCCAAATTACGCACCTGAGAGAGGAGCGGAGAGAGACGATTATCCCTCTGCATGACGTGGCACGGCGCCTCTCGACTTCACATCCTGGGGGCGCCAAGACGACCTCGCGGTGTATCGACGACGACACTGCAGCCACCAAGGACCGTCTACCCAGGGTTGTGCTAGGAACCTGCCATTGGCCCAGGAGCGTATACTAGGGCGTGGCCATGATGCGAGCACCGGTCACCACGACGTCGGCATGGTCCATGTCTGGCTGTAGTGTGTGTGTGTGTGTGTAGACGTATCAGCGGCGTTTCCACGCCCAATCCAGGCCCATGAAGAGTAGTCCATCAAGGTGGGTGGATGAGAAGACGCGCGGTACAAGATTGGCTCGAATGCTGGGGGCTTTTCTTTTCTGAAAGGATTGGGGAAAAAAATAGAGTTTGCCAATGTATCTGTATGGCAGAAGACATGATCCAAGTGAAACAGCGGAAAAGCATATGGCTTTCGCCCTACGTTAGCACCATGGCACAAACATGCTCCACATTGCGTCATTATCATGACATCTCTCAGTCTGGGAAAAATCCACGACCGCTTTCGTGGTGCCAGATGCACCGTAATCAGCCAGTCAGACGGAGAGCCTCGTCGCTGAAGTGTGCCAAATGTAACCATAGCGTGAACCACTTGGGCCACAAGTGTATTCCGGCCCGGTAAGGGGCCAGCACCTCGTGTCTCAAAAGCTTCAACATGTGGGGATGTTTTGAGGCTATGCCTGAATTGCTTGGCCGCCCCCCTCCATCCGTTCTCCGTCGAGCAGACACACTGGAGGGTGAGGGGGATCGAGCGAAAAAAAAGGGCCACCGATGAAGGCTCCAGGCCGTCTGTTGGCCTAATGTACCCATTGAGTATTTTCCGGAGATGATCGTCTGTAGTAGTAATCACCACAACTCGTGTAACCCGACGGACATACATCAGTCAGCCAACATGGCTGTTTCTTGATGATGAGTCCGATATTCACAGTGACGCTTGAAGGGACCAGGAAAGACGTAAAGCAGACGAAATAAAGTGATACCAATGCAAACATCCGCAGTATATCAAAACAAAGCGTGATTGTGATACCCTTTATGCAATGCCACAGCATCTACACCACTCACCAACCGTTCGGATACTATCCGGTCAAGTCCCCGAAGCCCAAGACAAGGGCATCTCGGCTAGCCTACGAAAAACACGGCGATCTGCACCAGCATTGGACCCGCTGGCATGGTGCTGGCTATGTCATTGGGGAAAAAAAAAGAGAGGGTGTGTTGCCACGACTCACCCACTTACCCTTTGTTTGCAAAGTACATGGCCAAAAATGATGTCGAAAAATAAAAACGGGGGTCAGCTAACGGCGAGTATAATCTACGACTCACCGACCGTTTAATGCAACTGACGAGGGGTTTTGGGTTCGCGAGGCCTACGCCATTGCCCAAGTTGCTGCCATGGACGCCAATGTCCGACGATGGGAAGAGGGGGTGGCCATGCACGGCCCCGGATACTGTCTGACCTTTTTGCTTGCTACGGCTGTGGGGGAGCCATCCGTACGGACTGCTTGGCGTGTTGTTTCTCCCCGTATTTAGCATGCAGTCGGTGGTGGTGATGACGCCGGGGGTCTGTGAGAGAAGACACATCACCGATGTACTATCCATCCTCCTTGGGGGCAGCCAGGCAGAGTGGGGACCTCCATCATGTGCTGCCAGGCTACCGGAATATACAGCGACGTCAGTATGAAACCAATCCTCGTCGCTAGGGCTTGGGGGGGGGGGGAAGGAGAGGGGAGAGGCAGGGCTTCCCGCATCCGCGATACGCTCTCTCAACAACCAGTTAGCTTGAGCCATGGCATTATTTGTGTCCTTGATACAGAGTTAGCCAAGGCGTAAGAGAGAACGCGTAAGCTTGTCAAACACAAGCACCTACATGCAGGAAAAGACGTCGTCGATACCGGCTTTTTACATGACTTGTGATACCCAAAGCCTACTGCATAACGCCGTTTTCTACCAAAGCGCCCCCACACCACCTTCCAAATGGAATGGGCAACATGGTCGTCACGCCTTTCCGGTCATGACAGACATTTTCCGAACGAAACCTTTTTCCCCCCCAGGCCCGGAGCGTAAGCGGCCATGGAAGGGGAAGGGGGGGTCATGGGAAATGCCCAGTTGGCTGGATGCGATGGACCGTCCTTGGGGCTACCGGCACGACTAACTCGACTGGGGGGGTTACAGGCACCAACGAAACACATTACAGTAAGGCTATGGGAGGGAACGAGGGCGGCGCGTCGATGGTGTGACGAGGTACCCGAGTAGTAGCGTCCGGGAAAGAGGAGAGGCGAAGAAACGTCTAGGTAGGTAAAAGGATCGAGCGAGGGCATGGAGGGGGGGGGGACGTGCCTCAACATGCCACGCATTTTGCTCCACACACAGGTCTCTCTGCTCCCTAACGCCTGAGGGCAAAAGAGGGCTGCAACCCAGGGCCCGTCGTGAAAAAAAATGTCCATCCACGTCTTAATAACGACGTTTGCCGTTCACCCCCCCTCCATTCCCTTTTTGACAAAAATAACCCTCTTTTTTATTTTCCTTGTCCCCCCCCCCCTCCGACTCATTCAACCAACGCAACTGGTCCCCCCCCCCCGTACACGCATACATATATATATATATATACATATGTCCGCCATGGCCATGGCCCTTCTTCTTCACCCTTCTTCACCCTGGATGTCGCCGCCCGCTCATGTCCTCGCCCGCCCGTCTCTCCGTTCTCCCAAGGGCCAACTCGACGCATTCAGCCCTCTCGCTTTTATTTATTCATCTCTGATCTGTCCGGTGAGAAAAAAACAAGGACGACACACCCCGCCGCCACCATGGAGCCATCAGTCCACACAGAGAGCTGCCACACTTGTTAGTCCGACCCCGCCATCAAGCCTCCAACTTGGAACGATGCCCGATTACCACCACCACCACGCAACGCACCCCATGCTTGGCTTACAGTTTCGAAACACATGCATGCAAAAAAGCAAATCAAATCCAAGGCACACATACCCGCAGCAGCCATGTGGGACGGGGTGGGTAGATGGGTGAAGGGAGGGAGGGAGGGTCAGCTGCCGCTGCGGCTGTGGATGATATGAGTAAGTACAAGAGAGATGCACTTGGGCCGCTGTGATGAGAAACACTTCGTCGCTCTCGGCCTCTCTTGCTCCCCGCCCCCCACTGCCGGCCGCCGACCGATCGACCCCGCATCCATGGACTCGATGAGAAAGAGGAGGAGGAGGAGGAGGAGGAGGAGGAGGGAGGGAAGATGATCTAACCATCAGCGCCGTTAGCAGTGTTCATCAACAGCAGGTCCTCGGGAAGATCACCAACCTATTGCCACTACCCGTAACGACCCCGACGGCGGCGATGCCCGGGACACGCTCGACAACACGATGCCATCACCAATCTTTGCGAGGCACACAGCGGCATTTGTTTGTTTCACAGTCGGTGCAATTTCATCATCAGGTCTATGTACCATACATTATTCCAGTGCAATACCGTATGCACTCCATGTCGGATGACGACGACGACCCTTACTCATTATAGGCCACCCAGACACACAAGAAAGATCCATAACCGAGACGTACAAACATCATAGGAAGAACAAGACGACGACGATGCCGCCGTGTGTAATGTATTGACCCCCATTGGAACGCCGCGCAACGTGCAAGTGCGTTGCCAGGTACCCGTCTCAAGCATATACTGCGATGCCGATACCGAGAGGGAGGAGAGAAGGATATCTACTGAAAGAGAGATGAGAAGAGTAGGAAGATGAATGAATAAGAAGGAGGACAATGCCGGTTACGCCCGCTAATGCATTCATTTGCTCATGCCATGGTGCTGCCGAAAGGAAAAGAAAACAGGATGCATTTCGGCGTTTAGCCGCGCGCAAGCTTTTGCAGCTTGCTGCGGATGCCGTCGGAGAATCTGGTAGCGACGCCCTCATCGATAATGTCGATACTATGCGAGAGGACAGCGAAGCCGTTATCCAGTGGCACAGGGGTGCCGTCCCGCTTGGTGAGGGCTGGGATGCCATCCCTCCGAGACATGTATCTCAGTATGGTAGGATGATCGGCAGGAAGGCGGTCGATGGAGAAGGCCGCGTTGGGTGGCTGGAATGCACCTTGCTGGTTCGGGCTCAACGTCTCTTTCTGGATCAGTGTGTCGGTCCAGACGATGAGGGCGGCACGGTAAACGGCACCGGCCCACCATGGAGGACGAATGCCTCGTGGCATTTCCCGGATAAGACGGAGCACCTGACCCGCGTGGGTGATGGCCTCTTGTACATCGGACAAGCACTTCTTGTGCATCCAGAGTATCTGTTGGTACGAGCCGTCGATACCTTCTCGTCGAGCGAGACGCTCAATCTCTGGAAAGTTGGAGACGGCATTCATGCTGATGAGGTGGAACATGACCAGGTTGGCCTGCATCATTGGACAGATGGGGTTGGCCTTCATGTAACGTTGCGCAAGGTCGAACCAACGTCCCAACAACGCCTGCACTTCTTCCAGGCGAACCCGAGTCGAAGCTGCAGTCAGTGCCCGATTGCGCGACCTTGATGCAACACTGCCGGAGAAGCAGCTGAGCAGTTGGCAGTATTGGCACACAAGAGTCTGTAGGGGGTGGAGCAGCAGGCGCAGGTGCATGGGCGTAAGATGAATCTCTTGCACATCTTGGACAACAATCTCGTCATCCAAGAAGTAGCGGAAGAGGTCTCGAAGGCTAGGCGGCCTCGCGCCTGAGCCCACGGACGAGTAGCCGTTTGAGAATTCATGTACTTGGTTGAACATGTCGGACCACTCGGAAGCGGTCTGAGCCTGCCAAAGCCGATCTGAATCGGGCATGGGAGCACCAAACTCAGTCACGGAAAACAAGGGAGCGGTGTCGTGGAACAGCGACAAGTCTTGGTCGACCATGACCCACGAATAGATGAGACTGTGGTGATGATTAGTAAGTATAATTCACGTGATGGCATGACTCTCAACACTTACCGACTGCGGCTCTCCTGCTGAAGCCAGTCCTTCCACAGCGTATCAGTCGTTGAAGAGCCATTCATGTGAGGGGTTGTTGGTGGCCGCGCATCCAGGATCCCAGAGTGTCGCAGCATCGAAAAGTACATGCCGCGCTGGCCCATGGCAATGTCCATCTGCCACTTGTCGCCACTCCACGCCGCTTGGACAGTGAAGAGAAGAGCTGCGCGCAGAACGATCGGATCACCGGCCATGATGATGTTCTTCTCGATGAGGTCGAAGAGGGATATCCGGCAGGCTTCGGTGAAGCCACCAGTGAGCCACCTCGCTTCTATCGACGGGATCGTCATGGCACCCTGTGCAATCATCATGAGGATGAGCAAGCTCGACGCCTTGTCATTGTAATTTTGCATCAGCTCATTGGTATCCAGGACACCTCTCGCCGACGTAGGGTAGTAGCGTTCGAAAGAGTTGGCATAAGACTTGAGAAAGTATTCGAGCACACGAGCGGGTGGCAGAAGAACAAAGTTTGAGTGAGAGGCCGTTGAGCCGGGAGACTCGCCACTACTTGAGGTGCTATTGCCGTCTTTGTGAATATCAAGAGCTTTGTGAAGGAAGCTTTGGGTGATGGCGAGGAGCTTGTCGCGGGTGGATTCTTGCAGCTTCGACACGGCTATCCGGCCTCCCTGCTGGAAGTCCGACTCGTCCCATGACGGCGTCCAGCTACTCCAAGCTTCATGGTTCTTCAGACTGAGCTCCAGACGCTCAAGGTTTAATCGTGCAGTGCGTGGACATGAACTCGAGGCAATGGAAGGAGTACAGCGAAACACGGTCCAGCCATCTTGGGCAGCGATGATTGCACCGAGGTCGGGGACCCCTGCGTCTGCTATGGAAGATTGTCTATTTGAGGGATAGAACATGGAGGCCGAACTACCGATTTGGAGATCTGAAAATGATTCGTCTACTCGGGGTGTTTGTGCATGGCCGAACGTTTGGGCGGGTGACATTTCAGGAATCATTCCAAGGATGCCTTCTGATGGAGGGCCCATGGTCATGTCCATGCCCATTGACATCATCAGCGAGGGGTCCAGCCGCATGGGATCAAAGCCCGTGTCCATGGGCATGTTGTGCCATGGATCCATCATGAACTGGGGGCTGTCAGTGTCGCCCTGATCACGCACAGTCCGAACAAAGTCGTCGTAGCCAGACATGGGCGTTGAAGAGACGAAGCTGTTCATGCCAGTAACGGGTGTGGGTAGGGGCGAGAGCAGCGAAGGGGCCTGGGAAAGCGCGTGTGAGGGAGACTGGTCAAAGAATGGCGGTGTATGAGTAAGCTGCAAATGAAGTGTCTTCTTCTCGGGGCTGATGTGTGGTGGTGGCTGTACTGGCTGGGAAACCGAAGGATTCCTCGAGTGCGTCGCCGATGGTGATTGGGATGGTCGTTGGGATGGAGGCTGTCCATTGGATAGCTGGAGTGATTGCTGCATCTGAGAAGGAGACGACTGAGCAGTCGGTTGCTGTGATTGTGGGTCATGGTTGGGAGAAGCGTTGCCAGACGGGTTTTGGGTCTCAGTGGTGCTCCCGCTTTCGCTCGAGTCTCCGCTGTTGGCTTCAGCCGGACCACCGACACGCTGTACACCCTTGGATGCCCGCCGCGTAGGACGCAGCGTGCATTTCAGGTTCCTCTGAGCACACCGGGTACAGGGGAACTTTTTGTCGCATTTGGTCTTGGTCTTTGCACAGTTACTGCAGGCAATGGGTGTGCGACCGGCCGACTTTGGTATTATGCCCTGGGGTGGGAGACCTTCTTCGTTATTTTGGTTGCGGCCGTGGACGGTGTAATGTCTTTGCAGAAGGTCTCTGTGCGATGGTCAGCAACTCGATCCGTACGACCAAGGACCGAACGACGAAAAGAGCACGGGAGAAATGGGCGGCTTCACACAAGCACGTACCGTCGGGCAAAGCTCATATGGCAGGTGAAGCACTTGAATGGCTTCACATTGGTGTCTATCGATCACAAGCGGTCAGCGATGGGTCTGTCCCCCCCCCCCCCTCTCTCGGTAGGATTCGAACAACGAGGAGCCATGGTGGCAGGACGAGAGAAAAGACACGAGACTTACGCGTAAGGATATGACGTTCGAGGTGTTCGTCTCTGGTGAAGGACTGTCCGCAGTATGTGCAGAAAACCATGTTGAGAAGAAGGGGTGGAGTGTTGGCCACTCAACACAAGTTTGGATTATAAGGAACTGGACCCAGAGGGATAGCGGCAGTGGCAGAGGGTCGGTGTGCAGGGAGCAGAGCGATGATGAGTTGTACCGACTTTTCAGCAAAGGATCAAGGGCCAGGAATTGGAGGCGGGGACATGAAGAGGCGTGCAAAAGAGAGTGGCGAGGACAGAAGCGGGGAGGAGGTGCTTTGTGGCTGCAGGTAACGGTGAGCCAAGAAGGAGGCCAGGGTAGTGGGCAAGAGGTTCAGAAGGTTGCTGGTCCTTGTAGGTGTTACTATGGGGCGAGGATAGAGTGGAGCGCAGAAATGGAGCTAAGGTGGGAATAGCAAACGTCAGGGCGATTCTTAGACGTGTTCCGTTGGGACGTCAGACGAAAACTGTGTGTCAAGATGGCTGTGGAGCTGACTGCAGAGCGTGTTCGCTAACCGTGGTGTGAGAGGGGACAAGGTCATGGACAGACCAAGTGGTACATGTGCAGCTCGGCAGCTCAGCGTGGGGAGGGAGGGAGGGCAGCAGGCAATGAAGGCGGAGCGTCGTGACGGGCAAGTGAGCTGGCGCGGGAAAAGGCAATTCTGGCGGCGTGAATACGTCTCGAGGTAGGAGAAGATGTAAGAGGGGGCTCAACTGGTGGCCTGTCCCAAGTGGGCGTGTTGACTATGCATTTGAGCGACGATGAATTCATCAATTGGGGAGGGATCCAGCTGCAGCAGAGGTGTGAGCTAGTGCCTCGCAGGTAGATGCAGCGCCAGGCTCTTGGGTGGGTCGAGCCCGTCCCGGTTAGCCATGGATTGTGTTTGAGCGACCAGGGGCATCTGCATGGCGTTGATGATAAGACTCAGCGGCAGCAGGGATGGGTTGGGCGATCTACGCGGCCGACTAGATTGGTGGGCGGGCGGAGGTCGTGTCGCAGGCGGTGCGTGCTGAGGCGGGCAGGGGGGGTGGTCGTGCAGGTGGTGGCAGTGGTGGAGGTGGTGGTGGTGGTGGTGGTGGTGGCAGCAGCAGCAGCATGGGTGCGTGTGCGCCGCCGAGTCCGCGTCAGCCACAAGTCGGGCGAGCTAGCGCCAGCGAACCGCGCCTAGGGCCGCAGAAGAAAACAAAAAAGACGGGCGTATTGTATCGAGCAATACGGCAATGTTACTTGACGGCCTGATGGGCAGCCCCCGGCACGTCGAATCAGCGCCAGCGGGGGCCTTGTGGTGCCTGTCGCTAGCATGGCCGCACCGCACCGCGCCCGCCAGAGCATAGCATGGCATAGCATGGCATAGCATGGCATGGCATGGCATGGCAGCGCAACCAGAGCAGAGCACCGTCGGCCCTCGCAGCGGGCAGCCAGCGAGCAGCCAGCAGCACGCCAGCGGTGAGCTTGGCTCAGCCCGTCTTCGCGACGGATACGAAGCCCATTCGCGTCGTGATGCCTGCGCAGGAAGGGATGGGCGGGCAGCATACGCGATAAGGCGGGCGCCCCGTCATCAGCAGCAATAGCAGCAGAGCCCGCAATAGCAGCACCGCCAGCACCGCCAGCAGCAAGCAGCCAGGCAGGCAGTGCGCGGCTGAGTCGTGCCTGGGAGAAGAAGCCAGGCCCTGTCGAGTCAACGCCGGCTCCCAAGGCCAGCAGCAGCTCTTCGCCCCGGGGTTGCTTCTTGCGCGTTTGCTGGCGCGCGTGGCCACTCAGACAGCGACAGATGGAGTCGTCCATACCGCCGCTGCAGCGCCCAAGGCCAGGCAGAGCGAGACAGCGCGAGACAGCGCGAGACAGAGGGCGCGCGTGTGCATCGATTCGCGTCAAGGTTTGCGCTGCAACGCTGGCCTCGACTGGCCCCCACCACGTCAGGCAGGACGTCCAGACGGGTGGAGCTGGCTGCCTTCTAGCGACGGGCCCCGTCCTAGTCGTCCTGTCCCTCGTGGCCGCCGTCGTCGTCGTGGCCGCGTCCCGTGGCCATGGCCGCAGCCGTGGGTTTGGCGGTGCTGCTTGTCGTGGTTCTGCGTGCAGGGTTGGTTGGCCGTCGTCGTCGTTGTCTTCTTTTTTTGGTTTTTTTTGGCTCGTCAATTGTTTCGAACGGTGAGCCCCGTGCGTCACTGGCGCCGTCGCAGCCTGGCAGGGCAGTCGTCGCGGGTACCAGTTCCGCTTGTGGCATAGCGCCATCGGATCCGCCTGCTCCGCCTGCTCCGCCTGCTCCGCTCGCTCTCTTCCCCCTCCCTCGCTTACCAGCACCAGCACGTGACCGGCCGCCCTGCCCCTGCCCCTGCCCCTGCCCCGTGCCCTTTCCATTACCGCTTCATTCTTCGCCCGTCCCTTTTGCCATGTTGCGCCACCATGGCACTTGCAACAATGCTGCCGCTATTGCTATTGCCATTGCTCCTCACGCTTCACCCATCCGTTCGTTCTCTTACCGCCACAAAAAATAACGCTTCTTCTTCTTCTGCTTCTTTTTCTGCTTTTCATGGCCAGCCTGCTCGTGCACTCAACATGGAATTGCTTTGCGGGCGATCAGTTGCGGTCTGTCGCCTGCCAGCCCTCTACAAAATGTGCTTTTTCGCTTCCTCTCCAATGCACCCAGCTCTCGCTCCTCTCACCGTCTTCTGCACACGCCAGCCCGCTTTGGGCCATTGGCTGGCGGCCTCTGCGACTAATGCCTCCAATGTACCGTTCCCTCACCGCGTAATGGCGACGCCAGCAGCCCGCCGCCTGCCTACAAGCCGTGCCGCGAGCCATGTTGACAAGAGCCCGCCGCGCCCAACAAGCCATGTCGCTACAGAGGCGTTAGTTCCGCGACAATGGCTACCTGAAGTCGCCCATCAAGTCGGAAAGATCGGCGTGCGATTACGCATGTTGGACAGCAGAGTTCCAATTGGGAGACACCAAGTGTTTCCTGTCACGGCAGCCAACCCCAATCTGGCCTACCCCACGCCAGCCCTAAGGATCCCATCGCTACAGGAAAACCTAGGCTCGAGCCAGATGATCGGCCGAACCACGTCCACGTCTGCTCTGCCATTCGCTTCTGGCCCGCCCTGCGCGCCACTGCCAAAGGGCTGCCTGGCCCGACCAGCAAATGGTACTCGCTGCGGAAATTATCCCCCTGCCCTCTGCCCTGCCCTGCCCTGCCCTGCCTCCACGCTCGACCGTCGCACACTTGCATCCCCATGCCCGCCCGCGGCTGCTAAGAATGGTATGCGAAAATACTTCCAGAAACACGCTACAATCTATTGAAACGTTACCAACCACCCTGACCGGTCTTTATAGCCCTCGCCATCGCTTCGCGAATCGCTCATCTCCACACGCTGTCTCCCTCCTTACGACTCAGCACCCTCGTTTCGAAATTAGGCGACCAAAACCACTGCCTCACCATTGCGCCCGCCAGCGAAGAACCGAGCTGCCCATGACACTTACAGCGGATCGCCGTCATCACCTTTACGAGTGCCCCCTTATCTTTGCCCTCAGCCCACACTATGCGAGCTTGGATGCGAGCGCATAGAACCAGATTAATTTCAATCACCCATACGACGCTGCTGTTTTGCCTGCCATGGCCATGCTAGCCGTGCCTCCGCAAAGTTACACACCACACGTAGCTCTCCCCCCGCAAAAGCCCTCGTCGGCAACCTGCACGGTCTTGTTCAATCTGCGCTGCACTGCGCAGCACATGGTGGCCATGTTGCGAACACGGCACCTGCGCAGGCTGTTGTATGCATGCAATGACGTCGTGAGACGGATACTGGTCGTTTCCCACGGGCTGATGATGGTCCGCTCGTATTGCTCCTGACTATGCACAAGCTAAGCGTCGGACCTGACACCATCAATGCTCCCGCCAGAGACCAGCGTTATTACCCACCCGCTGCTGAGGTTGCCTTGAGACACGAGTGCAGCGCTGTTGCTAGACGATACAGGCGCGTTGCTATTTTGGACCCAGCAGCAGCGTATCGCAACAAGACGCAATTGGCACGGCCTGGGGACCCTGCAGTTGAAACACGAAAACGAGTAATCCACGATAAGGCGTGTGCAGCTGGCTGTGGCGCGGGCTGACGCCCTTTTTTTTTTTACCCGGCGTCAAAAGGTAACAAGGCCGGCCAGTGCTGGCAACCGCCTGTCACGAAATCACCGCTTCGAGGCACAGGTCGGTGGTAGCTCGACCATCTCGCACGAGCTGGATAGGCTCTGGCGGAATGCTTGGGGCCGGCGACCATGGCCTTGGTGGTCAGAGCATAAGTGTAAGTCCAGTATGGCCAAGTTCCGCCTCGGCTGATTGGATCGACATGCAATGACGCGGGAGTGCGAGGAACGGTAGCAGTAGGCTGTCCGCCCAGACATTCCCGCCCTGCGGAGAAACGGCGCCTGGTTGCAGGGCAAAAGTGCCGGCCACCAGTAGGCAGGCCACGATGTGCACGTCGGCATGTGTTGCTTACTGGCATGAAGTCGAGATATGGTTCATTGCCGTCAGCCTGAAGCTATGCACAAAAAGGCTAATGGCGCACGAGAAGGATGGCCACATTTTCCCCCAGCGACCACTCATGGCTCCTTTATGCAGGGCTTATGTATAGCAATATTGGTGGCTAAGACCCCGCGCCGCATCGGGCCTAGCGCCACAAAAGCGCCCGCCAACGGCCGCAGAGTACCCGTGTTCCAGAGCTCTGTAACTCTACATCATCAGCTATCCCAAACGGCAAAATGATAGTCGCGAACAACCATACAACGCCCGCCATGCGTCCTGGAGCCATGTGCTGTGCCAACTCTCGTCAGCTAGCCGCCGGAATGCCGCTTTGGGCTGGAGCCCGCCGCTGAAGAAACCCCCACCGCCTACCAGCCCTGCCGGACATCAGGCCATGCTTCCTGCGCGCATCATCAGCAGCAGTACTAATCTTGGGTGCGACACCGAGTACGGCGCAATCCATGTACGCATGTAGAAATCGCTGTCTGCGCTGGCTTGTGGGGGAAAGTTTAGACGAATACGTGCAGCCGAAGCTGCTCCGTCCATTATTCGGCAGAATCTCGCGTCATGCGTAGCTTTGGATGGCCCGCGATCCAACGCCCCCGCTGTCCGGAGGTCCCATGGAAGCTATGCGCACGCAAAGTCTATTACCACGTTGACGTAGACACACAAACACATAAACACACCGCATTGCTGCCGAAGCCCGACCACCATCTCGCACATGTGCATGCACATGTAGTTGTAATGTGTGCGTGTGATCGCGTAAACCTAGACCGCATCCCTGAGGCCCCGCCGGTTGATCCGATTGTTTGCACGCCTAGGTACCCCAGAGAGGGCAACAATAAGTCGAATAGGAGAATCAAGTTATGGCCGAGCTCGATGCAACGCCTGAGTCATACGATTGCGATCAGAGTGCAGCGGGATGGGCACGAGTAGCACCACTGCATTTGGAAGCTTGCATACGCCTGTTTTGGTCATGGCCTTGATAAGGAGTGCTTAACTAAGACACATGATTGTGCCTCGGCCTAGCCGTAGTGCTCCCTTGGAAACATGGCAATGCAATGCATCTCTGGTTATCCTTTTAGTCAATCTTGACCAATTGGCCTCTAGGTCACATTTAAGAAATTGCTGTTGACGGTACAATACTCGGACTAGAGCCGCAGCTAGATGCGGCAAGGTAACGTATGTAGGCATAGCTGTGTATGTAACAAAAAATGTACTCTGATAGGCTGTGCATTGTATCCAAGTATTTCTACCATCTATCGTGGACTTGCATATCTATCGATGTCGGGTGTTCTATAGCAAGCATGGAATAACTCCCTCGTACTGTGTCTACACACCACCTCGTCCATCTACCCTTTATCACACATACCTCACATCGAATCAATGTGCCTTTTCCACTGACCTGCAGCACTTACACATGCTGTCCCCCCGCCCATACCTACCCCCTTGACACCCCATCACATATACATCCAAAATCAAGTACATATCCCTGCACAATGCACACACACTTATATATATACATACACCCACACATACACAAGATACGCATCTAGAACCCGGTTCCCCAATCCCATTCCAGCTTCTCTCCATCCCATTCTCCCAGTTCCCGGGACCAATCACGCATTTACCCATGATCGATGCTGCGCATGCAAGATCTGGACTTGGCCGCTTCATCTGAGATAGGATAAAGTGTCGAGTGGGGGGGGGGGGGTCTTTCTGTATCCATTCGCCTGTCCATCGATACAATGATATACGGGGACATCCTGGTCATAGTAGAAAACGCTGTGTGACAGTGACAGTGGCAGTGGCAGTGGCAGTGGCAGTGGGTGATATGGTGGCAGGAGAGACGGAGGTGATGCCGTGTTTGGAGTCGTTTTTTTACTACGGGATAGATGGTGATTACTAGTATGGAAAGCCGTCAGTCATGTATTATATATATATATATATTTTCGCGACTGGTTATGTTGAGAAACAAGGAGACTGTCGCTGTGGTGCGTTGAGAAAGTGGTGGCTTGATGTATTTTGTCACTGCCTTTTTTTCACAAATTCCATGTAGAATAGCCTACGGGATTTATGATATCAAATCATTAACCAGCTTAGTATGTCTATACGTTCTCATTTCGACATCTGCTTTACGTCTATCTCCTTTCCTTCCTTTCCTTCCTTTTTCCCCCCTTTCATACACACACACAAGCGAACGCAACGCCCATATATCCTCCCCCAAAAAGCAAAACGTGAAATCACCCCCCAAAGAAAAAGGACAATGTAGAAAAGGAAGAAGCTTGAGAAAATAGCTAGTATATAGCCGTATCTTGAAACACAAAAAGAAGATAGGTGAAAAAAAAGGGGGGGAAAGGGGACCCTGGGAACTTTTTGGCGTGTTGGGCAGCTAGATTGTAGTAACACATGCGGGCTTGTGTAAGGTTAAGGTAAGGTTAAGGTGAGTTACCTCGTCGACATCAACGCGTACAAGCGAAAGAAGGAAGAAGAAGAAGAAGAAGAAGAAGAAGAAGAAAAGATTTCCCTCGATAGCTAAGAGGAAAACCCGAAAAGAAAAGAAGGAAAAATCTACACTCACTTACCCAAGTCTCTGTCTGACTTAGCAACACACAGAAAGTAAGAGGTTGGGGGATGGAAAATGATAGTCTTTCCCCCCCCCGCCCGTGTGTACCCCGTTACATACAAGGCGAAAAGAAAAGAAAGAAAAAAATAGTCATAGCTGAAGCTTTCTCCACCACCGTCAGATCCGTATGTAGACACAGAGGTAGACTCGTCTCTGTTTCGCTCACCGCAAGTCCTCCAGACTACCTGCGCTTACTTCGCTCGTCCCTTTTTTTCCCTTCCTTTGCTCCCAGCCATTCATCCCTCCCAGAGATGTCAACAATCAAGCTCATCAAGCCGAGCTAACGCGATATAGTAATGATTAGGCCTAAAAAAGCTAGCCTATTACTGTATCAAGTTAGCTCGGCTTGATGAGCTTGATTGTTGACATCTCTGATCCCTCCATTCATGCTCTTCCCTGTTTCCCATTCCCTTTCCGTTTCCGTTTCTCTTTCGCCCGACACGGTGCAAGGAAAGGAAAGAAAAGAAAAGAAAACAGCTCTCTCTCTCTCTCTCTGTCTGTCTGTCTCTGTCTGTCTGTACCACGCCGCGTACGCCGTGCAACAGAGCTAGAGTATGCAGCACGAAATTGAGCACCTTCCCCCCCCCCGAAAAAAGAAAAAAAACGTAACTGGGGAACACTTTTCTCCTTCAGACTAGGGAAAGTAAGCAGATAAAGTCATCGCCATCATCGCCATCATCAGCATACGCAGCAGTGCAACGTCGTACGTGTTGAGTTTATTTTTTTGCTTGCCCGCGTGCTATGCTGTGCCATGCTATGCTGTTCTCGTGGTTGTGGCTGTGGCTGTGGAGCGGAAAGGGGGGTGGGGGGGGGAGGGGGAGGAAATTATAGAATTCTCGCGTGGACACCGCCCTCGTTTTTTTAGGACGAGGGTGGGGGGCGCGAACGAGAAAGGTGTTGTACGAGATCTTGTGGGACGGAAGGGGAGGGATGGGGGCTTGCGAAGCGAAGGGAAGGGGAAAAAGGGCGTCCACGTGGTGGGTGGACATGAGGTTGTGCGCGGACGCTGTGGTATGCTGGATTATCATGGCGATGATGGGGAATGGCAATGTGGTACGCATGAGTGAGAATGCTGTGTTTCTCATTTCTTTTTTTTTTCGAGCTCTTCCTCTTTGTCTTCTCGTTGTATGTGCATGGGTGGATAGATGATGATGATGTGTG